TTGCCTTCCATGTGTGTCAGGTGACTTCAGCAGCGTCGGAACTCATCGAGGCCGCGCACTGAATATTCCCGCTGACACTTCTGTATATTTATAGTCTGTTTATTGATATTTCGGAATCATTGCGACCAAATCCAATAACCGGGTTTTTTTTGTTGTTTCTAAGAAATGCGCAACGACTGACGCTGCCTGGAGACCTTTAAAGGGCAAGAGCGGTGTACAGACCCGGGAACTCAGCACAGGGATGGTGGGGGCTCCTCATAATGGGCACAGCGGGTGTACAGACCCGGGAACTCAGCACAGGGATGGGGGGAGCTCCTCATAATGGGCACAGGAGGGGGACAGACCCGGGAACTCAGCACAGGGATGGGGGGAGCTCCTCATAATGGGCACAGGAGGGGGACAGACCCGGGAACTCAGCACAGGGATGGGGGGAGCTCCTCATAATGGGCACAGGAGGGGGACAGACCCGGGAACTCAGCACAGGGATGGGGGGAGCTCCTCATAATGGGCACAGGAGGGGGACAGACCCGGGAACTCAGCACAGGGATGGGGGGAGCTCCTCATAATGGGCACAGGAGGGGGACAGACCCGGGAACTCAGCACAGGGATGGGGGGAGCTCCTCATAATGGGCACAGGAGGGGGACAGACCCGGGAACTCAGCACAGGGATGGGGGGAGCTCCTCATAATGGGCACAGGAGGGGGACAGACCCGGGAACTCAGCACAGGGATGGTGGGAGCCCCTCATAATGGGCACAGGAGGGGTACAGACCCGGGAACTCAGCACAGGGATGGTGGGAGCCCCTCATAATGGGCACAGCGGGTGTACAGACTCGGGAACTCGGCACAGGGACATTTTGCCCACACTGACCCCCTTATTTCGAACCCTTCCATGGTCTCCCCTTGCCTCGGGCTGACTGCTGCGCACATGCTCCCAGAGATCCCGCAGCGGGAGGTTGCAGCGGTGCGCAGTGACGCCGTGCCGTCGTAGCAGCACCTCTGGGTGCGGAGTCGGCCTCAGTGCAGCGACGGGGGTGAGAGATTTCTTTGACCCGAACTGCAAATATTTGTCTGTCTGGAGGAGGGAGAGGAGCGGATTTGGCTGAATTCTTCCAGCTGTCTCTCCTTTTAATTGCTTCTTGTTAAAAGACTTTTACTAGCTTTTGATTTAAGTAAACATCAGTCAGTAAATTCCTGACACCCCCCTCCCCCCCTTCCCATGTGTAACCTCGCACTGACCTTCGGGGCTCCTCCAGGGCCGCTCTGGCCTTGTATGGGCCTTTTATAGGTGAATGAGGAACCCCCCAAATATCCTTCCAGCCAGTAAGATTTGAATTCCGTCCCATGTGTATGTGTCGGAGCCGTGAGAACCAATCGGTGAGCGGTGTGTGTGTGTGTGACGTGGCTCTCTATATAAACTGATTTTTTTATGACGTTGTTTAATAACCAAGAAGTTTAATTTGTCTTTTTTGTTTCTCTTTTGGGTTCAGGTTATCCCCGCTTCTCCACCTTCCTTCCCATGAGCCACCTGGACCACGGAAATGGCAACGTTCTGTACGGACAGCACCGCTTCTACGAATCCCAGAAAGGCAAGTCTCATTCATTCCAGTGACAGGGCGCCCCTAGTGGTGCATTAGGAATATTTCAGCTTTTTCATAAAAAAAAAAAAAAAAAAGGTTTTGCATTGCAATTTTGTTTTTCCTGGGTGGGGGGTTGATGATGCATAAAATATTCAGTGGCGGCAAATTGCAGATGGCGACTAGGGAAGAGGAACATTTTACTGACCCTCAGGATGTTATTTAGTGGCACCCCCTCCCCCTATTACCATGCAGTTTGTTAATACCGATGCTGATTGCTCTGCCCTCGTGTCCCCATTAGCAGTAAGCTGGAAGCAAGATATCGGCACTACCCCTTTTTGCCTCAAGGTGGTGCCACGTCAGACCACAAACTGAATTTGTATTGCTGCAAATTCAAGGCTGGTTTGCGCACCCGAACTGCAGCATTGATACAGCGGGTGCAGTGCGAATCGCGTGACAGTGACTCGGCTGTCACGTGGGCCCGGAACGTGTATCCCTGACTGGTCTGGCTGTATAAAAAGGTGACCACATGCAAATACAGCCTGCCCAGGAACGCCTGCTCCTCCGGACTGACACCCACCCATCAAGGCGTTCTGATATTTGCATAGCTCCTCCCAAGAGCCGGCCCCTGCTTGCATCAGGCTATAGTTCAACTATAGTTCTCCAGCTGCGCTGAATCTAACAATCCCATCATGCCCCAGCCTCTGGGAGTCATGCCTGTGGCTGTCAAGAGTCTTTCAATGGGACTTGTAGTTCCACCGCAGCTGTACGGCCAGAGTTTGCCTCTACCGTACTCCAGGCAAGACGGGCAGTTATTCCTTCCAGTGGGGGAGGGGCACCTACTGCCGGGGTTAAAGGTTTTTCCTGGCGCGTTGATGCAAATCCCGACACCTGCTGAAGACGATCAGCCGCCGGTTACTTTTTATACTTCTCTCCCAGAATCCCGTTTTATCGTGTTTTTACCAGAAAATTCCATCCAATGAGTCTCCTCCCATCCATTCCGCCGCTCGCGCTGCCCTCTATAAATGGACCTCGGCGGCTTCCGGGCAAAAATATTTGCATTCGGCTGGAAAATGTGACTTTGGCGACGAGATTTCGGCTTTAAATAAACAAGCAGAAAAAACTGTGAAACCGAAAATAAATAGGAAACGACTAAAAATAAAGGAGGAATAACACCTCGGAGGTGGGGGGGGGGGGGGGGGGGAAGTACAATAATGTGCC